AAAAAATATATATATATATATATATATATATATATTTTTTTTTTTTTAAATGATTTTTCTTTATCCTGTCCCTAAAGGGGCCAAAACAGCCTCTGGTATCATCCTGCCTAAAAACAGTACTACCCTACACTCCCGATTTTGGTATCTAGTACTATTTCTCACAGAAATGAACCAATGCTGCCAGGACGGTAGCTGATTCCAAGTCTTGGAGCAGGCGCCCAAACCAAAATCAGTCGAAACAATATTACCAAGAAGCAAAGATGCCTTCCAAGATGTTCACGCTAGTTCTAAGAAGGGAAAAGAATCCTGGCAGGCCCACTGATGAGCCTGCCAGGGTCAAGAGATTTTGAGCCTTTAGTCATCATCACCTCCACAACTAATTAAATGAAATTAGCTGAGACGAAATAAGGCATAAATCCATAAGTCCACGATGATACAAAGAGAGGCATGCAGAAGATTCTAATAATGTTTACAGAAAATGCATTCTACTGATCTACCCACTCAAGTTTTAATCAACAACGAAGAATATAATTAGATGTTTTTCTTTTCGTGTGTAAAACTAATAATATCAGCCAATTGTGACTGACATCTATTTTACTAAAAGAAGTCAAAATCTCTAGGTGCCTCTTGCAAAGCATAAAATTTACATATGGAACATGTAATTGTCATTTGCTGTTTTAATTTTGCTATCAAGGACACTATGTATCAAGGCTACAACCCATCTTAAATGTGGTAATGGGATTATGACTGTATCTCACCATGACCAGTTGTTTCTGTCCCAAGCAGGTTATAAGAGGACATGCAATCTAAAATTGAAACAAATATATTTTATAAAACCTTACTTTCAAAAAAAAATGTTTACTTATTTAAAAAGTTTGTTTCTAGGTGTTTATTTAGAAAGATGTGTTAGATCTTTCTGTATCTTATTCCTTTCAAAACAGAAAAAGAAACAAATTGTTTTCATTTCTTTGCTTTTGTTTATTTTTCTAAAGTAGAGCTAAGGGGGAAACAGTTTCTCTCCCTCTATTTATTTTTAAATTTTTATCTTATTCTGGATTATAGTTGATTAACAATGTTGTGTTAGTTTCAGGTGTACAGCAGAGTGATTCAGTTATACATACACATGTATCTATTCTTTTTCAAATTCTTTTCCCATTTAGGCTATTACAGAGTATTGAGCAGAGTTCCCTGTGCTATACAGTAGGCCCTTGTTGGTTACCTATTTTAAATATAGCAGTGTGTACATGGTCTGTCCCAAACTCCCAATCCATCCCTCCCCCCTCCCTTCCCCCCTGGTAACCATAAATTTGTTCTCTAAGTCTGTGAGTCTGTTTCTGTTTTGTAAATAAGTTCATTCATATCATTATCTTTTAGATTCCACATGTAACCGATATCATATGATATTTGTCTTTCTCTTTCTGACTTACTTTGCTTAGTATGATAATCTCCAGGTCCATCCATGTTACTGCAAATGGTATCATTCTTTTTAATGGCTGAGCAATATTCCATTGTATATATGTACCACATCTTCTTTTTCCATTCAACTCTCCCTCTGCTTTCAATGCCATTCATTGTCCATTATTGTCTAGTCCATTATTAGGGCTCTAGTACATCTACTCTCGTCTCTTGCTAACAAAGGCACCCAGGATCAAGCAAGAGAAGGGGATGTCTTACTTGACATCAACCTTAAAGTTTTGATATGTCTAGTTGTTTTTAGCAGTATGTGACTACTATTCATAGATTTCACAAATCCCTCTTGAACCCACATAAAAGAATTTATGTCTACACCATTACTTGAAATTAATTCCCATAATTATCTTCTTTTCATTTGTCCTAAACTTATCCTAATCTTATCAAAGGTTGCTTGTCTTTCTAGAATACTAGAATTTCTTGAGCAAGCCTGTGCTCAGCTTAACCAGGGTCTTTTAAGATTAAGGGCCATTGATCCTTTTGGCCTAAACTCCTTCATCAGGGCTGCCATCTCTTCCCTCAGTCTAGCAGATCTTCTCTGGCTAGTCTTTAGTTCCACTATGTCCCTTCTAAGATGTGATTGCCAAAACTGCACATAGGACTCCTGGTGAGGAAACACCACAGATCTACATAAGGTAAGATAACCATCGGTTTGTCTTCAGTAACTCTCAATGATGTGCAATGTTATGGTTGGATTTTTATCATTATCAGAGTCCTAAGCTGCTGTTCTCTATACCCATAATAATTAACAAGTGTCTTTTCTCAGTTACAGTTCTAAATTATTTAGAACTATTTTAGATTCCTTTTAAACATTTCATTGCCTGGACTTCCCTGGTGGTGCAGTGGTTAAGAATCTGCCTGCCAATGCAGGGGACATGGGTTCGAGCCCTGGTCCAGGAAGATTCCACATGCCATGGAGCAACTAAGCCCATGCGCCACGACTACTGAGCCTATGCTCTAGAGCCTGTGAGCCACAACTATTGAGCCCGCGTGCCACAACTACTGAAGCCCATACACCTAGAGCCCGTGCTCCACAACAAGAGAAGCCACCGCAATAAGAAGCCCACGCACCGCAACAAAGAGCAGCCCCCGCTCACCACAACTAGAGAAAGCCTGCGTCCAGCAACGAAGACCAAACGCAGCCAAAAATAAATAAATAAAAATTAAAACAAACAAAAACCATTTCATTGCCTATTTTAAAACCAGTCTACAACTTTTCCTGTTGTTCAGGAACACAAAGTTTTAAGACTTTCTTGTTATCTAGATCTAGCATTTGTGGCTCTTCTCTCTCTGAAAGATTTTTCATAAGTTATTTCTCCAGTTCTATATAAAGATGCTAAGTAATTCCAGTCCTAGCATTGATCTCAAAGACCTCATCAACGATTTACACTTCTTTATCTATGAAATCACCCTTAAATCCCTACACTTTGTTTCCTCTTTCCAGATCCCCTCTCCTTCTTCTGATTCTATAGTTATTTAGCAGATCACTCATTAATTCAAGAAATAGTTACTGGCATCTAATCAGTGGGAGGCACAATAATAGGTGTTAGGAATACGATGACGAAGACATAGGGTCCCTGCCTTAAAGAATTTCAGGCTATGCTACATTCACTGGTGCATTTATTTACTTGCCTATTTTACTCCTTAGAAACACTAGTCAGGCACAATTCCTTTTTTCATAAATCATTTGTTTTTCCCCTAAAAGAACATTATTTATGTTCTTGATTGTAGAATTCAATGAATTACCCATGCAAGGACGAAACTGAGTCACTTGTACATTCTCAAATCTTTTTAGGTCTGCACTGCCCAATTCAGTAGCCATTAGTCCCATGCGGCTAATTTTAAATTAGTTACAATGAAATGAGATTAAAAATTCAGTTCCTCAGTTTCACTAGCTACATTTCAAGTGCTTAATAGCCACATGTGGCTACTGGCTACCATATTGGGCAGCACAGATTTAGACCATTTCCATCATCACAGAAAGTTTTATTAGACAGTACTTTTTGGACAGTCCTTATGCAAGGGGTCACACAGTGGCCACATATAAAAACAGGTTACACATTTTGGCAAACAATCACTGTTTTCCTCAATACTCATGTGATGCCACCTAGCACTAGAGTAAGTTACATTCTTTTTGTCATTGAGGTCTAAACTAAAATACTGACCTCTATGGAATAGGGTTTTAATTGTAACATAAGACAAAAGAATCACTCCTTTTTATGCCTTCTTAGTAACAGAATATATGACTGGGAATGTATAATGAAAGTACCTAAGTAGTAGCAATAATGCAATAAATAATCAATTCAACATGGGAAACATCTTAAAGAATCTTACCCTCCTTCACTTTCCGCTTCCTCTGAACTATTACTTGTTGCTGAACTTTGAACTGTGACAAGCCTTCTTTTTCTAGCTCTGTGCTGAGGACTTATCTTGTGAACAGTTATCTTCCCTCCAAGTTCGCCTTGGATATATTCCTCCAGCTTTGGAATGGCTTCTTTAAGAACTCTGATTTCCTCTTTGAGTTCTTCCATATTTGTCAGTAATTCATTTAACTTCTCCAATATCTGAAGTTGCCTTCCTTGAAAGATCGCTGTTGTTCCTTGGCCATTAGGCATTTCATCTTGCAAAGGCATCAAATCAAGTGAATTACCCAGAGAAAGAAATTTAGGTAAATCCATTGCTGTCCTTGGTTTACGAAACTTGTGGTACCACAGAAGCAGCAAGCTGATTCCAGTAGTTCCCACCATGATGCCAAGTATCATTTCTTTGTTTGTGGAACGAGGCATTTCCTGGTTTTTGTTTCTAAAATTAAAAGTATAAATGTAAATGAACATTGTTTCTGTCTTTCCCAAGACAAAAATATTAGGGCTTTTTCAATCAACAAAAACCAAGTCTACCTCATCACAAAAAAATTTAATAACACTTGATAAATCACAAACTAAAATAAACTATGAGTAATTGCCTCTATAATGTATGTGGCTGAATAGAAATACTACCTGTATGGATATTACTGACAACCAGTGTAAAGTATCAACTGTAATTCAGAGTTTGTATTCTACTTCTGATCTGAAATTTACTCTTTACTATATATTTTTAAAGGGTATGATAGAGGTAAAAGCATCATTATAAATTTCTGAAAAAACTATTTAAGAATTCAAATTATGCTTAACTGTGTCTGAACCTTTTATTTGTATAAAATTAACTAGTGTGCTAATATCTGGGTTTTATCTAATCTTTAAGGAAAGTCCAAGAAAAAGCTCTTCCTTGGCATCTAGTTAACATTTTGTACTCCAATTTAGAGTGATAAACATTTTAAAATGGGCTTTGAGATATAAAATATACAAAGAGTTGTGGCAAGTTTGTAACCACCTCATCTCTTTTATTCAACATGGAAAGCAGAGATGCTAATGTATGTGCAGGCTTTACCTCCCTTCTTCTGACCTGGAATTCTTCTGCTTCTTACATTTCTATTTCTGTCTGAGGTCTTAATGTTTTTATTTTCTTTCAAATGTTCACTTATTTTTAAAGTAACAAAAAAGTAATTTCTTTGACTCCTTTCTCCTTCTGAACTTTCACAATTTTGCATCAAAGACCCAAGCTTTGGGCTACACGGGCCTAAGCTTCCATATAAACTTATAAACTTCCATATAAACATAAACTTGTTGCATATAAACTTAGCTACTTTGACAAAATGCACCATAATCTTTCTTTACTTCATCCACTCTTCACTAGTTTTATTGCTTATCACTGTTCTTAAAGAAGGCCACTAAAGGAAAACAATAATATAAATCCCCCTTTCCTTCTGAGACTTTAAAATGGCAATGAGTATATAAATACAAGGATAAACTTTTGTAATGAGAGTAAAATATAATAAGGCTTTTATACAGACTTTGAAGTTTCCAAAATTGTTTTCCCATCAATTTCCCCTATTTTATAAACAGGTAAACACCCGTATTAAATTCTGTTTGCAACTTGGGAGAAATGATACAAATAATGGTAAACTGTCTGTTACGAAATTAAATTTGCAAATATTTCGGTTTGTTTTTCCTGACACTTTCTCAAGGAGCAAATTATTATAGCACTGACACCCTTAATCCCTGATAAAAGGGAAACAAAGAGGAAAGTACTATGATCTCCCCAGGTTTCCAGTTGAAGGCAATTTCTGGACTATGGCACAGGGAAGGGAAAACCAAACAGAGCCTGGTAATCTCACTGAGTTGAAAAGAGATCAGAGTTCAGAGAAACTGAAGCACCCAGAATTTGTGCCCACTTAGTACTGAAGATGAGGGAGTTATGCAGAGAAAGAATTCCAGAAATACGCATAAGGCTATTCCTGAGTCTTTTTTTTTTAATTTTTAAAAATGTTTATTTATTTATTTCGGCTGCGCCAGGTCTTAGTTGCAGCACGTGGGATCTTGGTTGTGGCATGCAGGATCTTTAGTTGTGGCATGTAGGATCATTGGTTGTGGCATGTGGTGTCCTTTTAGTTGCAGCCTATGGAATCTTTAGTTGTGACATGCAAACTCTTAGTTGTGGCATGCATGCAGGATCTAGTTCCCTGACCAGGGATTGAACCTGGGCCCCCTGCATTGGGAATGCGGAGTCTTAGCCACTGGACCACCAGGGAAGTCCCTCTCCTTGCACCTTTAATTGAATACCAATCTGCACATGCATAGAGTGAAACCCCACTGAGCCAGGCAAAAAACAATTTCAAGGGAAAGAACAATTACCAGGAAGCTGTACGCTGAACTATTCCTAAAGATTACACAGAACTGGTAAGTGTTCAAGTGTTTACCATCCAGAGTGTAGAGTGTGTATGAGTTACTTGAGACTTCCAGTAGAGGCTTCAGAAGGGTAATGGCTTGCTAATGCAGCTAAATTAACACTAGAGTTAAGGCTATTTAGACCTGCTCTAAAATAGATTAAAAATGAGCCTTCAGGGCTTCCCTGGTGGCGCAGTGGTTGAGAGTCCACCTGCCGATGCAGGGAACACAGGTTCGTGCCCCGGTCCGGGAAGATCCCACATGCCGAGGAGCGGCTGGGCTCGTGAGCCATGGCCGCGGAGCCTGCGCGTCCGGAGCCTGTGCTCCGCAACGGGAGAGGCCACAACAGTGAGAGGCCTGCGTACCGCAAAAAAAAAGAGCCTTCAAAGGATCAAACTGATTCACAAGTGATTTAACTGCCTTCAGTAGAAAGTCCAACACTCTTTATAGGAATAGAAAAAATCCAGAACTCAACAACATAAAATCACAATGTTGACCATCTAATCAAAAATTACTAGACATGTAAAATTGCAGGAAAATGACAGAGGTGATATAATTAGCAGATAAGGGTTTTAAAACAACTATTACAGATATTACGTTCATTATTTAATATAAATATTAAAATATGCTAAAGGAAAACATAAACATGACGAGGAAAGTTATAGAAGGCATTAAGCAGAACCATATAGAACCTCTAAAGATAAAAAATAAAATAACTGAAATAAAATTTTACTAAATGAGATTAACAGCAGAGAAACACTACAGGAAAAAAAATATATCAGCAAACCCAAAGACATAACAATAGAAACCATCTGCTATAGACTAAATATTTGTGTCCCCCCAAATTCATATGTTGAAATCCTAATCCCCAAGGTGATAGTATTGGATGGAGTCCCTTTAGGAGGCAGAGCCCTCATAAATAGGATTAGGGCCCTTATAAAGAGACCCCAGAGAGATCCCTTATTTCTTCCACGACATAAAGTTACAGCAAGAAGGTACCAGCTATGAACCAGGAAGCAGGCCCCCACAAAACAGTGAATCTGCCAGTGCCTTGATCTTGGATTTCTTAGCCTCCAGAATGATGAGAAATAAATTTCTGTTTTATATAAGCCACCCAGTCTACAGGATTTTGTTATAGCAGTCCAAATGGACTAAGACAGCATCCAAAATGAAGCACACAGATTTTAAAAAAAGACTAAAAAACAAACAAACAGAAAACCAAGTAGAGCCTATAGGGTAATATCAAGCAGTCTAAAACATATATAATTAAAGGGAAGAAAAGGAGGGGTAACAAAAAAATTTGAAGGAAAAATGGCCAAAATAATTCCAAGTTGGACAAAATCTATAAACCCAGAGATCCAAGAAGGTCAACATAATCCAAGAAGAATAAATTAAGAAAACCAAACCATGGCAAAACATTATTAAAATGCCGAAAACCAGTGATAAAGAAATGTGAAAAGCAGCCAGTGATGGGAAAAAAAGACATATTATGTACAGAGAAAAAAAGATAAGATTACAGCAGACACTGTCTCCAAGGCATCACCTCAGAAACTATTCAAGCAAGAAAACAACAGAGTGACCTCTTTAAAGTGCCGAAAGAAACTGTCAACTTGCATTTCTACACCCAGTAAAATACTTTTCAAAAATGAGGGTAAAATAATGAATTTTTTAAACAAAGAGAAGTTGAGAGAATCCATTACCAGCAGCCCTTCACTACAAGAAATGCTAACAGAGGTTCTTCAGGTAGAAGGAAAATAATAACACATAGAAACTTGGATCTATACAAAGGATGAAGAGCACCAGTAGTGGCAAACATGTGGCAAAATATAAGTCATTTTTCTCATTTTAAGATTTATTCATAAAATATTTGCTTATTACAGCAAAAATGACAATAACATATCATGAGATTTTTATCATATGTAGAAGTAAGAAAGTAGGACAACAATAGCCCAAAGGCTGGGAAGGGATAGAGAACATACTGTTGTAAGGGTCCTAAGTTTATAAAGCAGTGTTATAATAAAGAGCCACAGTTGTCACAGCAAAGGAAACCATAAAAAAGACGAAAAGACAACCTCCAGAATGGGAGAAAATATTTGCAAACGAAGCCACTGACAAAGGATTAAGCTCCAAAATATACAAACAGCTCATACAGCTCAATATTAAAAAAACAAACAACCCAATCCAAAAATGGGCAGAAGACCTAAGCAGACATTTCTCCAAAGAAGACATACAGATGGCCAACAGGCACATGAAAAGCTGCTCAACATCATTAATCATTAGAGAAATGCAAATCGAAACCACAATGAGGTATCACCTCACACCGGTCAGAATGGTCATCATCAAAAAATCTACAAACAATAAATGCTGGAGAGGGTATGGAGAAAAGGGAACCCTCCTACACTGTTGGTGGGAATGTAAATTGATACAGCCACTATGGAGTACAGTATGGAGGTTCCTTAAATAGCTAAAAATAGAACTACCATATTGAAATATGACTTCAGAACTGAGAAAATCAACTGGGAAAAAAACTAAAATCAATGGAGCAGGTATTTGTTTTAAATAATCACAATTAGAGAATAATAGCTCCAGCTATGTTTGAGTTTTATATCAGTATAAAATGAATGTGCTTCTAAGCCAATAATTTGCAAAATGCCACTCATTAAAAATCAGAACACCTGCTTGCCTGCAGTGTAATTTCAAAGGTTATATTACATCATTTACATAACTTTAATACATTTAATTATCACATTAGTAGTAGACACGTGCACTTTAGTATAAAAACACAGTAATTTAAAAATATATTGACTAGGGAATTCCCTAGTGGTCCAGTAGTTAGGACTCAGTGCTTTCACTGTTGGAGCCCTAGTCAATCCCTGGTCAGGGAAGTAAGATCCCATGGCATAAAGAAAGAAAGAAAGAAGGAGAGAGAGAGGGAGGGAGAGAGAGAAGGAAGGAAGGAAGGAAGAAAGAAAGATTGATTCTTGGTTTAAAATATATATAGAGAGAGAGACTAGATAATCAGATACTAAGTATTATTCCTGTCACATTTCAATTTGTAAGGTGCTAATAATAATGTAAAATAATAGACATTTTATTATAAATTATTGGCATCTAAAATTAATGGGTAATACATAATTAAAGGTTGTTTGCAGAGATGAGAATTAAGAATTTTGCTGAAATAGTAAATCATCAAAATGTTGACTCTACTGAAATTTCTGCATTAAAATTCCTTTGTAGAACCTGTCATAAAACATTAACTTCAGAAAACATTTAATTTTCATGTTCTAGTTTTAATTAAAATTAATGTTTAGAAATGGAAATTATGCTTTACCAAGTTACTTACAATGCTTTCAGCAATATTTAGCATATATATTCACTTAATTCATCAGCAGATTCGTAGGAGGAAATACATAAAATATAGAACTCTGATAAACTCGGAAGATGAATGAAAATTTTTGCAAGGGTAAAGGCACAATATGGACTATAAACGACCCTGAGTTTTAAGTTTCCCAAGGGAATTGCTCTGAGACCTTGAATTAGCGATTAGATTCTCCACAGCGACCTGGATAACTTGATACTTTCTAAGTGAATTCTAATACTCACATTTCTTTCGGTTTTCATTTTTTTTCCTATTTTATAATTTCTTTTTCATTTAGGGCTCCCTGATGTTTGGCTTATTTGCAAATGTTTGTCCCACTGAAAATCTAGCCTTCATTTTGTGTAAAACAGGTGGAGAATCTGATCAAAACAAAAACGTTTGCTGAAGTTTCAAAGGTAAGAAAGACCCAGGGAGCCCAGGTGAGAAGCGAGCAAGTGTCTCCGGCAGAAACTCATCGGCGTTTGCAGGGACCCGACAGGCCGAGGCAGTACGCTGCCCGCTCCTCACGCACCCCACGCCGGGCGCCCGCGCGTAAATACTGGCGACCTCCGGGGTTGAAACTTCCCAGGCACCGGCTGGGCGAGGGCTGAGCCAGGGTAAACTGCTGCAAGCCCTCTCTACCGCCCTGAGGAGGATGCCCCCCAGGCTTGCGGACGCCTAGAGGACGCCCGCACGACCCGGAAGTGCGGTGGCCGCCGCCGGAAGTGCCGCCTCGATCCTCGGCCGCATCCCACCCCGGACAGCCGAGATGCCCACTGCCCACCTGCGCAGCGCGAGTTCTCGCCGCGCCGGCCTCTCTGCTGTCGGACACCGGGGACCTGCCGACGGGGTGGCTGGGAGCGAAGCGGCGGGCGGACAGTAGTCCCGGAGCCAGCGGGTCCAGAGGTCCGGCGCCGCGGCCGCCTCGTCCTGACCCAAATAGCCGAGGCGCCGGGGGAGGAGCCCGCGCCGCTCGCCCCGCGGTTCCCGCCTCTTCTCGCCGGGCGGTCAACTCACCGGGGCGGGCTCCCCGAGCACCTTTTACAAACGGAGACAAGTGCGCTCCGCCGGGCGCCTCGGCCCGTACCGGACTTTGCTGCCCGGGTGCCGACTCTCTCAAACCTCGTCTCCCCGCCTCGACAACCGCGCCCTGGCTCAGGGCCAGCGCGCCCGGCCCGGCGGGAGGCTCGGCGCGCGCTTCCTGCCTCCAGCGCGCTTTCTCCCATCACTGCCGCTCCCGAAACCCACCCTCCCTTCGGTTCTTTCCCGCCCCAAACCCACCCCCCTGCCCTAGTTTCACCCTTCTTCGGTGCCCCTTTCTATACACAACCTTGAACCCTCCGTACGACAGAGTCAAACGTGTACGTCTTGCATCACTTACTAATCAAGTTATCCTAAGTTCACTTTAACTCACTTTCTCTTTTAGTGAGCTAAATCCCCAGCCTCTCCGTCCTCCCCTCAACCCCACCACCATTCAGAGTTGCCTTTAGGCGAAAACCACTATCTTCTCAGGTGCCCGACATTCGAGATTTTACCCAGCTTCGCTTTCTGTGGTTTGTATAATGAAAATAAAATTCTGCCAAATGAACTCTTAAAAACTGCACATTCACTCCCTTCTGTATTGTCCTCACTTTCAGCTTTAAATTTAGGCTTGCAGTGAACAGTCTTGAGTACTAAATTCCCTACCAATGTGCTGAATGGAATTAAAAACGGATGCATTCCTATTTATCAAAAAACAAAACAAGCAAAAGAACTCCTCTAAAGAATCAGAAGGCTAATTTCACAATCCATACAAAACTATTTACTAATGGAGATTCTACAGGATCTTGAAGACCATAAAACGTTTTCTGAGCTTTAAGCAAGCTGCATTGAAGAATAAGTAAGTCCAGCCACATCATTTTATTAAAACTAAGATATTTTGGAAGGCAGCAGACTAATACTTAGCCTCTAAGATTTGAAACTATAAAGCACTCCTAAGAACCACTTTCATTCACACTTTGTTATGGTTTACAAAGATATTACAATATAATGCTAATGTTTGCTTTATTTAAAAAATACAACATAATATAAACCTGTCTAGCAGGGTGATCTCTTTTAATGAGATTTCTTTCCAAAAGAAACTTTACTGTCTTTTCAATAACACCTAAAAGAAGCTTGAAGCACCTTGAGATTTAAGCTTGTCCAGAAGGAGTCCACTGAGTTGTTCACGGCTGCATCCTCAGCACACAGCACAGAAGAGATCTGCAATAAAAATGTGGAGTGTGGGCTGAAAACAGGGCTTTACCAACCCTCTGCTCCAAAAGAAAGATGTCAGCTGGTACAGACGTGTTCTTCAAGTTCAGGGAGTGGGGTAAAATAGCTGGACTCTTTCAGTATGCCTATGTAACTAACACCTGTTCCCCTTGATTCTGTTTCTTGATCAGTAAAAATTATCTGTGAGGTAGAAACTCACAGAGCGGTGGCCATTGATCTTTGGTAAAGTTAAAACTAAAAATTAAAGAGACGAGCTATATTCGCCAGGCGCTGTTGTAGGGATGACATAAAAAAGAAGGAATTATTCTACCTATCTCTACTAGGAATGTGGTCTCAAAGGAATGTCTGAAGGGGAAAAAAAAAGTCACTAGGAATCTCAGAGATGCTGTTTTTCATGGACTGAATGTTTGTGTTCCTCCAAAATTCATTATATTTAAGCCCTAGTCCTCAACGTAATGGTATTTGGAGGTGAGACCTTTGGGAAATAATTAGGTTATGAGGCTGGAGCCCTCTAGAATGGGACGAATGCCCTTATAAGAGACCAGAGCTCTTTCTTTTTCTACCATGTGAGGATACAATGAGAAGCCATCTGTCTGCAACCCAGAAGAGGACCCTCACCAGAATCCAACCCTTCTGGCACTATGATCTCTGATTTCCTGCCTCCAGAACCATGAGAAATAAATGTTTGCTATTTAAGCCAGCCATTCTATGGTAATTTTTTATAGCAGCCCTAACGAAGACACTTGTATTCATCACAACTAGCACAGCATTACAGTCAGCTGACACCTCTGGTGTACAGGCACTTCACAATTTGTCCCCACCTACTTTTCCAGCTTTTCTCTACCATTTTCACCAGACATCAATCCTTCACTTCACCTATAGGCAAACTACCTTATTTTCTTTCCATAAATCACACGTTTCCCCAGTCTCTGTGTTTAGACTGCTCTCTGTGTCTGGAATACCCTACTCTTTGCCACGTGTCAAAAAACAATTCATCCAGTTTAATCTGCATCCCTTGAGCAGTTACTCTACACATTCTCCTTCTCTCCCAAAGAAGAATTCCTCCAGGCCCCGCCAAAACTCTGCAGAAGGATAAGGAGTTTCCATGAGTAGAAACCCCCTCCCTGCTGGTTTTCTGCACCCCGCTCTCATGTACACTATTATTACCGCTTGGTCAGTGACTGTTGTGCCCTTGAGCTGAACATCTTGAAGGCAAGGATGTATTTATCTTTGTACCCCCAGTGCCTGGCACAGTGCACATACTCTATATAATAAATAGTTGAAAAAAATTCTTTGAAAGTATATGTACACTCAAGAAGAAAGCATTAAGAAATCTGCCGTCCTTTATATGGCAGGAACATGAGAAGTGTATGTCAAGTGTATGTTGGAGAGGGGGGTTTGTTTTATTTTTATTTCTTGGCTTTTATCTAAGTGGTTTATATCCAGGAAGAAATTGAATGACAAAGCTGGTGGAGGAAGGAGCCATCCAAGCATAATTGAGGCTCCAAATTGCCCAAGTTAGGTCTGTAAATTGGAGGGAGAACCAACAGCCACAGCAAAAAGACTGATTAACTCTTATACTCAGTTCCTGCTTCATTCTTTATATGAATTATCTTATTCCATCTTCCTAACAGTCTACTGAGGTAAATTACATAACAGGTGAGAGTTTGCTGCCTATGATGGAACATTGGAAGGGGACTCTTCATAGCACCTTTTGTAAGTACATCATAGCACTTCTCAAGGGATAGTGTTCTGTCTGCATCTCCTACTTCAGTTACTTGGGGTTCAGCCTTCTCTGCTCCCTCTATGGGAACTGAACCTCCAGACAGAGCACTTACCCCTTGGAGGGCTTCCTTGTAGGGGTCTGCCATTATCTCTAAACCACAGGGTATAAAATTATGATGGTGGGTCTATCACGTTCACTGTAGGCTAGGAATAGAGTTTGGGGAAAAATAATCCTGTGTCTAATATTAACAGTTTTGGGCTTATTTTAATTTTAGGGGATCCTTAGAACACAAGAAGATTATTCCCAAATTTTCTGAAAAGATACCTATGACTAAATTGGACCTTCCAAGGGAAAAATGCCTTCTTTGAGAAAGGTATGAGGATAAGTTTACTAACTCTTTCCACAAGACTAAGCAATTAGTGTAATAAATTATTAATCACATAAATACAATAATTGACCCAATATTCCTGTACTGAACGAATCTTAAATGGTATTTTAAAAAGACATGTATAAAAGAGGTTAGAAACAATATTTATGTAATATAATTTAGCAATTCAATGTTGAATCAATTTGTTAAAAATATAACTACCTCATTAAAGTATAGAATTCTTATAAGAAAATTTTGTTTTCTTAGAAAAATTAAGTTTTTATTCAATGTCATGTTCAGAAAGGCATATACATTGCCTGATTGATACTAACTTTGGTCAATGATTATCAGCAGTTTTTCCATGACACATAAAGATAGGAATGAAGATTCTTCAGATATTCCAGGAGATTTTGTAAGTCACATTATTACACTGAGTTTCTGAAGTCAACCTGTTAACAGCTTTGGATATTCTCTAAAATGGAACTCAACAAAGTCATAGCAAAAAGTCACTTTACCCCTCTCTTCTGCATTCTTTCTTCATCTTGAGAGAAAATGTTCAGGGATATCTTTGACAGTATGTATGTCAGCTTTATAAGTCAAGGTCAGTTTCATTGTTTGTGGCAGATTGAAAAAAAAGTCAAGTGTTGGTCAGTTAGACAAAATATTGTTACAATATATGCATGTATAAATTAGTTAAAATAACTGAATAGTTTTAATTATATATATAAATTAGAAAAAAAGATTTCATTTAGGACTTGGATGGCAAGTCAATTTTGTGTAAGGTTCTCCTGGGAAAAAAAATGGGGCTGGCAGTTTTCCAGACCCACTGCTCTCAGACTATCCAAAGAAAAGTTATTTTCCCCTAGGAACAATATCTTTTTAGAAATTGTTCAGTAGATAGAGGCAGCCTCTTGGTATGCAAATCAGTCTATAAAGATGGTCACTCTTCTGATGCAATAAAGACATTAATTAATCAACCGTTGTTAAAACTTTTTCTATTTCATAAAAGTTGTATTCCTATCTTTATAATTAAGACATATATTTGGACTCTCATTGAGAGAAGTGAATCTAGAAAGAGATGAAATTCACCACTATGATGATTTTAGAAGAAAGCTTGTCTCATAAAGCAAGTGACCAAGCCATTTATTGTAATAGAAAATAATTGTGGTTTGTTCAGAACTGAGAACATATCTTATCATAAAGTCATGCTATATAAATCGTGGTTTGTTTCCTAAGTAACCCCATAAAATCCTTCATAATCCATAGGATACTATGCTCTATGGTTTTCACTTGAATTCTAACTCAGAACTGCTGATGTCAGGAAATCATCTATCTGTGCTATGGCCTTGGCTGCTTCCACTTAAAAAAAAAAAAAAGTAACCTTGACCTTGCCAGCTGCAGCAGCTGATAACTGTCCAATGAGAAGAGAGACCCATCCTCCAGCTGCAACGTCTGCTTACCAACTAATGCAAAAAACTCCTACCACCAGCCACAGCCTCTGCCAGGTTTCTAGCAATAAAGGAACTACCCATTCAGCCATGGGGCTCTTTGACTTCTTCACATGAAGCAAAACAACCCTTCCAATCCTCCTTAACACAAAAAAAGACAATTCTGACAGTAATGACATTTACTTTCTCTCTTGGTAACAGAAACCTCCCATTTCTCAAACAGAAGGGTACTGAGAGGAACTTTTCTTCTGGACATAATGACATTGTACAGGA